AAAAATTGCCTTATTAGAATGTTTCTTTTATCTATTCTTAACTTTTAAAAAAAACAAATTTTTCTCCTTTTTTCTGTTTTTTCCCCCTACAGACTCGAGTCTGGACTCGAGTCCAGACTCGAGTCCTTACTCGAGTAATTTACTTGTGACTCGAGTCTGGACTCGCTGCATGTATTACTCGAGTACTCGAGTCTGGACTCGTTACTCGCACACCTCTACTATCCACCATGGAAAACTTTTCATAGGATAAGGGGAGGTAACTCAGAATGCAACTTACATCCCGGTTTCAAAATGGCGGGGATGCGGCAAAAGACCGCAATGTTCCGGGAAATCAATGTGTATTCCTCTACTACATTGAGATGGAAGTCTATATCTATATGCACAGGTATGCTCTATACATGGTTGTCAATGTGTCTGACTGTGATTGTTACAGAAATAACAAAGATATTAGCTTCATCGTGCACGTGGGGTTCCTGATGATTTGTTTTTTTGCTATTTTTATCATCAACTCCGGCTTCCTCCGCTAGCCAATGAGAATGCCAATTCTAATGATTACAATGGATATATCCACAATAATGTTATGAATGAAATTGTTGAATTAGAATGTTTGCAAAGATTCTTGGTTCCTGTGTGAGTATCACTACATCTACACAATTAGTGAAGTGTAGGCAAGCCTAGTTATAGCCACCTCGTCCTCTATTCTCACCCGGAGTGAGAATAGTGCCGGCGAGTCTTGTGGCTATTCTCACCCGGTGCGCGTTCTCCCTAAACCACAGAATTCTACACTGTGATAACAGAAAAATTGTAGAATTCTGTGCCGTGAACACAAGTTCCATTACAACTGTAGCCTACTAAAGGGGTGAGAATAGAAAAACGATCTACCTCTCCTCACCCCGGGTGAGACTTGCCAGCATAGGCTATTCTCACCCGGTGCGAAACAAGACCTGCTTTTCCTCATTTTGGAATACTGTCTATCGGTGTGGATGATCAAATTGATAAAAGCCAAGAAAAAATTACGTTATAGCACAAAAGTAAGCTAATTTGATCGTCCTCAAAGATGCTATGGCCATTTCACTGTTCGAATCGA